AATAAGAATAAAGCTCATGTATATAAGGGCTTTGAACAGGACCCTACTCATTAAGTAATATTAATCTTACTACTTTTTGGTGTTTAATTCACGATATTTTAGTATTTATTAATAGCAAAAATAAATTAATGAATCCATAAATACTACCGATTGCATTCTGATTCGCGCTGCCTTAATTGGTGTTGGAGATGACTTTTCATAGATTCCAATGATTCCAATACTGAAGAATGCTTAGAATGATTTTCTTGCTGCGATGTTAAAGCCTGTTGTGCGCTTTGCAAATCTTGATCTGAAAAACATATAATGGACTAGGCATAAAGGTTTTAAAAGCACATGAATAAAGGAGCATTATCTATTGTACAAGTATCGTTAGCTTAAAAGAAGTAAGACATCTAAACGCACAGACTTCATCCATGTGAACTTTGATTCGTTTCAATTCAGCCTGAATCGTGCCTTTTTCCTCACGAATTTGGCCTAATTCGTGAATTAACTTGGTGCCATGAGTGATAGCAGACAAGCCCCAGCGGTGTAATTCTTTAGAGGCCGCTTCAGCGACTGATGCGACTCGAATTAAATCATCGCGCGGTTGTACAATCCGACCAACGTCTCTAGCAGTAACTCTTCTGCCTTCGTGATATATCTTACATTAAAATCAGATTAATCTGCAACATACCTGATCCACCATTTCTACTAACAAGTGGGCTGAATTTGACATGTAATCCATAGATGTTTCTATTTCTTTTATCCATTCTTCAAGAAGAGTATTTGTCCAAACAGAACTGTCCTCAAGATCATTGCCACATTTAAAACTTAAATCCGAACACACGTCAGTCCTGACATTCTCAACGAGATCTTCGCAGGATTCATTAGATAAATTAATTTTTTCCATTGATTTGGCCTCAAATTGGCCTGAATGAGCTTTATTTTCGGGTGCATTCTGTAAGGTAAATATAAATAATTAAAAAATACTTGGGGTCTATTATCATCTGAGTCTATAGAATGGATATATGCTGGGGTT